GTTGAATTACCTCAGATAATTTTTCAGGAATATAGAAGAATAGTTTAATGAAATCTTGATATTAGAGAGACATAATCTAGATCACAGTTCAGGTTTCTATGAACTATTTAGAAATGAATTGCATAAACAGAAAATATAATCGTTTATAGAATTATACAGGTAGTCCTTAATGCACAACCATTTGTTTAGTGATCAAAGTTACAAAAGCAATGAAAATAGTGATTTATGACCACTGTAGCATCCCCATGATCACATGATCAAAATTTGGACAATTGGCAACCGGCATATAGTTATGACAATTGCAGTGTCCCACGATCATGATCACCTTTTGTGACCTTCTGAGAAGCAAAGTCAATGGGAAAGCCAAATTCACTTAATAACCTTGTTCCTAACTTAACTGCAGAGATTCACTTAACCACTATAGCAAGAACTGTCATAAAATGAGGAAAATCTAACTTCGCAATTATCTTGCTTAGCAAAATTTTGGGTTCAATTGGTAGTTGTAAGTCACTTCCTATTATCCATATTATTATTAATTCAGGTGCAGGAAATTGGAAAAAAATCACAGAAGACAGCATTGGCCACCAAGTTCAACTTTCCAGCTGTCAAGAAAGCTCAATGGGTCTGACATGATGTCAGCATAAATCAGATTATGAAGGAGATATTCTCCTTTTAAATGCATTAGGACCCGTCCATTATTATTTGTAGAAAAGGATCCATATAAGTGCCCTAGAAAAATCTATGTTCATAGAATTTTCAATTAACATCTCAACTCATACTTTTAAGTGCTCCACTTGTATGCTATTTTTTCATACCAACTTTCAGAGGAGTTTACAATTTATAACTCATTTTCATAGAAACTCAGAGGTGTATCAATCACTCAGAACTATATAGTTAAAAAAGAGGTCGATTATGGAGGCAATTAATATTAAATATAGTTTTAATCATCTTCAAAAGGTAACCCTAAACTAACAGTAGTGTAACAAAATAAATAAATAAAAAGGTATTGGGGGCATTATTGGCTTCTTCCCTTTCTCACACTGTTAAACTTTAACATTTTTATTATGTATTTTATTATGTATTTTGAAAATTATTCAAACTAGAGCAAGCCAGACAAAATAAATGTGGATTCGCTTTATGTCCAATCGTATAGAATAGAAAAAAGCACAAACATAACATTTTATGTTGTTCCCTTCTGTTCAAATTCATATGCACAGCGCAAAACAATGGTGTTATTGTGCTGGCAAATGCCATTCCATGAAAATAAAGGATTCTTAATTACCCATTAAACACCTACATGAGCTCTGGAAGGCATTGATCGCCCTCAGAGGCAGAAGTGAAGGTTGCACTGGAAAGAATGTTATTGAAATTTAGGTTTTACCTAGAAGAATGCTTCGTGAGTTAAAAGATAGTAAATAAGAATTAAACTAATTGAAAGTAAATTAAACTTCCTCTTATAAGTACCAAAAAGTTTGTGAGGCACTGCGTTACTTTCTTTGCAATTTAAGGAACCAGACTGAGGAAAAAGATATAGAATTTTTCAAATATAATAAATTGCATAAAGCATAAAGCATATAGGAGTTTGGCTCAATAAAACTTTTATTCTACTTTTTTAACTATTTTAAATTATTAAGTCATGTATACTAAAATACTTTACATCTAAATGTTAAGATCTGTAATTTATTATCCAGATCTGAAGAAGAAAGAAGACAAAAAGATATTGAGAGAACACAGAGGCAAAAACATCACTTCTGTTGGCATCTCCTTAAATCCATTATGTGATCTGCCAAGTTGAGTTCTTTAAAAAACTGCCAACAAATCTCTCTTGTTTCCCTTCCAAATTCAAATCACTGCACAGTAATATAAGCCCCATTTGAATATATTTTAATAGTGGCTGAACACTTATATACTTTTAGATCTACATAGAAAACACATCACTAGCTACTATGCAGATAAGCCTTTGCTCTATTTTCAATATTTGAAAAATATATTTAAGATTTGAATAATTTAACAGGACATATTACTGTTAAATTACATAACTATTTATTAATTATTAAATTAAATATTATTAAATTAAGTATTAATAGATAAAATTATCATTGATAAGATAGAAAATCTTAAGGAGAAATGTACAATAAATCTAATAAATTATAATCACCCTCACTATAAAAAAGTAACAAGATACAGTTAAGTACCAGATTAACATTTTTGTAATCACTACACTTGAACAGTTAAAACCAGACCATATAGCGATTTATCATCTTATAAAAATATGCTTTTTCCTTGTTACATAAAAGGGTAGGAAAATATGATGATGGTGATGACAACCAATGCTGGTGGGAACCACAAAATAGGGTTATCTTTGACCAATGGTATCTGAAATAGGTTTTCTCTGCTGGCATGAGTGCAGCAGGCTTGTCCTAGCAGGATGATGCAGTTCATCAGGTAGCCTGGACTTCTGCCATTAAGGGCTTTATAGGTCATAGCCAACACCTTGAACTGCTTTGAGAAGCAGACTGGCAGCCAGCAAAGTTCATTAAGTAAAAATGTGAATATGGGTCATCCCAGGGGCCCCAAAGACTTCTCTCACTGCACTTTGCACCAGTTGAAGTTTCTGAATGGACTTCAAGTGTAGCCCCATGTAGAGAGCATTGCAGTAAGTCAGGCGAGAGATGACCGGAGTGTGAATAACTGAGTGCAGGGTGTCAAGATCCGGTACACAAACTAGCAGCTGTGCAAAAGCTCTCCTGCTTATGCCTGCAATTTGCTCTTCAAGCAGGAGACATGAGTCCAGGAGAACCCCTAAGTTGTGAACTGGGACTGAAAAGGATAGGGCAATCCCATCCAGAACTAAGGATGACAAACATTCGGATCCTGAGGCTCCATACACCCAAAGCCACTTAGTCGAAATTTTGCCAGCATTTAGTCAGTCTGCAGTCTCTCATCCAGATTCCCACAGCCTCTAAGCATTGTGAGACAGCATCACTCAGGTTGTCATGTGTGGAAGTTTCTGGGGAAAAAAGTCTTTTTTTTTTTTTTCAAATGCCACATTTTTATAACTTTAACCCTGTTAGAAAAGAGGGTATTTGAAAATTAGATACTGTTACTGCTATAGCAATAAATTCTGCATACATAAAATCTGATGCGATAGAGACAAAGAAATATTCAGTATGCATTATGGCTTCCAAAGAAATATAATGTTATCATACGCTGTTTTTAAATCTTGTCTAAGTCAGAATTCTTGATAAGAAATTAAACTGGGAAAGATTCTCAAGAGTGGGGATGTAATATAAACAGACTAATGCTTTGCAGATCCTTGAACTAAAATTCCATAAGGCACTGCCAGCGCATATAATGGTTCCAACTTCAAGAAGGCTATAGTTTAACATACACATAGAATACCAGACTATCTATCCTTACAATAGAAGGATTCCTCACATTTATGTACAGTTGATTCTTTCAATGCTGAAAATTTGCAGACACATAAAGAAGCATGACACAAGCAAAGATAGCAAAATACAGAGAACAGTGACATCAGACTTCAGAACAAATCTTTCAAAAATAACAAAATATAACTATATAACTAGAAAAGCAGAAAGATCAAAATTCTTCAATATTCATCGAAGCTATTTAAAATCTCAAGAACAAAAGCTCAGCAAAAGTGTGTACCAGAGATTGGGAAAAGTCCCAAGAAGTCTAAGAAGACGCCAGTTTAATAAGTAGATTAAGGAAGCCATAAAAGATAAGAAAGCTTTTCTCAAATTATGGAACTGTTGCTCAAATAAGTCAAGCAAGGAGTACAAACTGGAAAAACAAATTAAAGTTGATAATAACACAGGAAAATAACTGAGGAGTATATTGCTAGAAAAATTAAAATAATTTTAAAGGTTTATTTAAGTATCAGAAGTAGGAACTTGGTGAGAGTTTCTACCATTATACAGCAAAGAGAAAATATGAGTAGATATCTTGCATGAATTAATTTAAAAAAAAACTGCGCTGGAAAAACTAAGCCTAGTAAAAATAAGAAACAGCAGAAACCAGAATAGTTCTAAAAGAAGTAAAATGTAAAAGTATCTTTCAAACGAAATATTCTTATCTTAGAAAATGTTCTTCATATTGAAATATTGCAAAGAAATCAGACCTATATGTTCTGATAACTAATAATGTGAGTTGTTTAACAACTGAAAATCAGCTTTGTGTCTACAAACAGAAGCTTCTACCTCAGCACCAAAATAATAGTACAACTGCAAATATATCTATGAAAAGGAAGAGCTATTATATATTTTAGAATTTTGACATCAGCAAATATTAGCAGCAATAATTGAAAGGATGAATTAACAAAACAGACAGATCTCATAATAAAACTAATAATGAAAATATGCAATTACAAATTATAAAGTGGGGACCTGTACTGCAATTGATATTTTCAGTACATCAGTCTCTAAATCATGATCAAACCTATCTTATACTATTATACTCCCTTTACATACAATATTAACATTATAGAGTTTATTTTAGACAGACAGCTTAGTATAGAAGTTAATGAAACAGGCTAGAAACTGGAAAACTCGTGAGTTCTAGTTCTGTCTTGGGTATAAAGTTGAGTGACCATGGGCCACTTTATCTGAAGCCTAGAAAGGAAGCAAGGGCAAACCATTTCTAAATAATCTTGCCAAAACTGCAGAATCTTGTCCAGGCAATCTCCAAGAATTGGACATGATTGAACAGAAGAAATTAAGATTTTATTTATGGATTTTAGTAATATGTTATTCATTTCATGTTGGCTGATAGATTATTTCCCCACAGACTTGGTGTTGGATGCTTTGTTCTTAATGAGTTACCTGCCCTAGTATCTTGCCAAAGAGAAACCTGCATTCTTTAAAAAGATAACAGATGGACTAGATAATTCTGATATGTTACAGAAGAATGATTGTGGAATTATATGCATTATATTCTAAGGAACCTAGAGATTATATCATGAAAAGAGTATTGGTTCTTACCTAAAACACATCTTCTGGATGTACAGGAGGAGAATCCAAAGCGTGGGACATACCCAAGCTAGTTGTCCTAAGGGTGGGCCTTGAGCTCCCACCTCCGTGTGAACTCTTTGTAGTACTCTCCTTCCAAAGGCTGCTTCCACTAATGCAAAGGTATCCAACTTATAGTTCCTGATGAATGGAGATGGTGATGCCCACGTTGCTGCCCTACAGATCTCTTGTGTATTCCAAGCCGCCGTTCGGGCTGCACTCCTGGTCGAGCATGCTGTTATTCTACCCGGCAGCTGTAATGACTGGCTTTCGTAAGCTTTTTAAATACATGCTCTGATCCACCTGCCTATGGTTGATGGTGAAACCTTTTGGCCTAAAGAACCAGGTCTGATTGATATAAACAATGCTTCCATCTTTCTAATGGTCCTTGTTCTCTTAATATAAATGCGTACTGCTCTCCTTACATCTAAGGAATGCCACTTTTTTTCTAAACTATGGACCAGTTCCAGACGTAAGTCTGGTAATACTATTTCCTGAGCTCTATGGAATGTAGAATTGATCTTCGGAATAAAGGTCGGATCCAACCTTAATACTACCCTGTTTGAATGGAATATACAAAGATCCTCCCTCACGGATAAGGCTGCTAATTCCAATATCCCTGATATAATGGCCACTAGGAAGGCCACCTGAAGGGTGAATGAGAGCAACCCAACTGACCTCAGTGATTCAAATGGCTCTCTCATGAGTACCCTCAGCACTTTAGTCAGGTCTCAAGTGGGCTGTGTATCACTGGTGGTCTTAGGTTGGTAGCTCCTCTGATGAGATCCCATAATCCAATACTGATGTTATCGCTGCTACCTGCCTACGTAAGGTGTTGGGAGGCAGGCCCTTTTCCAGACCCTCCTGGAGGAAGTTCAGCACCTGTGTCACTAACACTGTGGTTGAGTTGATGTTTCTTGGAGCACTAGCTTCCAAATGCTTTCCAGGTAGCATCATAAATCCTATTAGTCGATGGCCTCCTGGAGGCCTGGAGTGTTTGCATTATGTTAGCTGAACATTCTAATTGACTTAGTGTGGCCCTCTCAAGCATCAGTCAGTCAAATGAAGCCATTGTGACTCTGGGTGTTGTACTGCCCCCTGGTTCAACTCTACTCTGTCTGGAGGGATTCTCCATGGTTGGCTACTGACAGATCTACCAGATCCGCATACCACAACCACCTGGACCAGTGCGGTGCTACAAGACGCCCACCCTTTCCTCTATCACTCTCTTGATTACACTCGGTATTAACGGGAGTGGGGAAAATGCGTAAAGTAGACCCCTGGGCCGCACCCCTCGGAGAGCATTGGCCCTCTCCGTCCCCAGTTTTGGGAATCTTGAGAAAAAAATCAGTAGTTGTGCATTTGCTGGGGGTGCAAACAGGTCCAGGACCGCATTCCCGAACCTGTATGACAGTTCCCTGAACAGGTCCGGGTGCAGACACCACTCTAAGTGCTAAACTGTTGTTCTGCTGAGCCAGTCTGCCTGAATGTTCTCTGACCCCAAGCTATGTTCTGCTCTAATTGATAAGATATGTCTCTCTGCCCAGTGGCCTAATCACTCTGCCTCTGCCTAATCACTCTGCATGAGTGTCAGGGAGTGAGTCCCTACCTGCCTGTTGATATGTACCTTGGTGGTCACATTGCCCATCAGGATCAACACTTGCTGACCTACTACTTCTCTTGAAAGTCCTTAGAACCAGGTGCATCACCCTGAGTTCTAGCCAGTTGGTGTTGTTTTTGAGATCTGTCTTGGACCACTGACCCTGTGTAATCTGGGTCTGGCAGTGGGCCCCCCAACCTACTAGGCTGGCAACTGTTGTAATGGTTAGTCGGTTGGGTTCCTTGAACCAATATCCCTTGGTTATGGCCTCTGACCTCCACAACTGGAGGGAATGCTTCACTTGGGTGGGACTCGTGTCTTAGTCCTCTTATTGCCTTTGCCTGCTCTCTGGTAAGGCAAAAGAAACCACTGCAAAGTTCTTGCTTGCAGCCTGGCCCAAGGTACTATTGGGATGCACAATATCATTTTCCATAGTAGCTACAAGTCCAGGGCCACCACCGGATCATTGTCCTTATGCTGTCTTGTTGTTCCTGTGACAGATAAACCTCGCAGTAGTGTGTGTTTATGACTGCCCCGAAGTGTTGCAGTCGCCTTGTCGGTTCTAGATTACTCTTTTTGAAGTTCACAGAGAACCTGTGTTCCTGCAGTGTCTGTTCTGTGGTTTCTAAGTCTTCCTTCGCCCTTAGAGTTGAGGCTGACTGTATTAATATGTCATGCAGGTAGCATTGGACGCGTTTGGGACTTGTTCAGAGATGCGCTGCTACTGCCGCTAGTACTCGGTGAACATCCTGGGTGCTGATGACAGGCCAAATGGTAGAGTTCTGTATTAGTAGTGTCTTCCTGTGTAACACAAGAGCGGAACCTCTTGGTAATTGGGATGTGTAAGTATGCGTCCATGAGGTCTACTGATGTTAGGACATCTCCCTCTCGGATGCTCCCTAGGATTGACTGTAGGGATTGCAATTTGAATCTTTTGTAAACTATGTTCGTTCAGTAACTTGAGATCTAGAATTGATCCCCATACACACACACACACACACACCTTTTGCACAACAAACAGGATTGAGTAGAACCCTTGTCCCTATTCATTCTTTGGTACTACTTGTACTGCCTGAATGTCCAGGCATAATGACTGTCTCCATAATGACCTTTTTGGCTCTGTCTCTTGGCATTGGGCACCTTCCAAATAAGTTTGGAGGCGTGGAGAGGAATTCCAGAACTATGCCCCTTTTTATTGTGCCCGGGACCCACTTGTCCGATGTTATTGTCTCCCATTGGTCGGCGCATAGGACCAGTATTCTGCCGATGGGTGCGCTCCCAGTGGCTGGAAAGGACTGCCACCACATGTACCGTGATGACCGCCTATCTCCTTGACCAAACCTCCTAGGCAAAATCTTTCTCTTGTCCTTAATCTCAATCAGTAGTGGTTTGATGGCTTCCCCAAATAGTTTGTCCCTTTTTACTGAGGCAGAAGCTAGTTTCCATTTATACTTCAAATCCGCCTGCCAGTGGCGGAGCCAAACCAGACGCCTTACCACCACGGAAGCTGCTATAGCCTCTGTGGCATACTTGATCCCACTGAGAGTGGCGTCAGTTATCAGCTCCACTGCAGCTATTATTTAAGTCTTGTTGCAATTGAAGATAATCAAGTAGTGCCTTTTCCTGCATTTGCGCAAACTATATCAGACTCCCCTGCTAAAGAATGAGGCTGTAGAGGTTGCCTTTACTGACCATGCAGCTGCCTAGTGAACCTTTCGGAGGGTCTGTTCCGCCTTCTTGTCTTCCCCTTTAAGACCATCTTCCATCTCATTGGCCAAAATGGTACAGACGTGGAACCTGCCACTGGACTGTCTATTGTGGGAACTGGAATTAAATCCATCAGTTCCACGTGTGGGGAAAATAACTGGTCGGTCCAACTGTCCTTCCATTACTTCCCTGAATAATTCAGGTGAAGGTACCATTCCTTCTACCTTGGTTCTTGCAAAGAACTTGTCTTGGATCTGATAGTTCTAGATCAGACTCCTCTGTCGCTGTAACATTTCCCAGGCCTTTTGCTACCTTGGCCTTCCCTAGCAGCATGCTGATGGAAAAGACAGGGTTTGCTTCATTTACCTCTTCATCTAAAAAGGCTGACTCTTTCCGATCATCCTCTCCTGAAACTGAAGCCTCACTTTGGGTGTATGACCTACTTGAACTGGATCTCCAGAAGCCCAACTCCTCCCTTGCTTCTCCTGCCAGTGAGGGATGTTGTGCCTCCTGCCTTTTCTAATTATGTACCAGGTTAGGTCTATTACATTGTCCAACCCTAATCTCTGACAGCATTTCCAACATAATGGCCCTCATTTCCCCTCTAAGGGACTGTTTTCTGAGCCCTGCTGCTGTAGGGGTAAAGCTGGCCTCTGCTTTTCTCTTGGGGGAAGGCTCGTGGTCTTCATCGCATTCCTGGGGCTTCCCTGCCTCTCTGTTACACACACATTTTCTTCCATACAAAGAACTGCTTGAAAAAACTGCTCATTGGCGCCCTCTAGTTGTCACACTCTTTTCCTCATGCTTTGTTCCCATTGTTCTGCCTGTTGGAGCGCGGAAATTTCCATTCCTCTCTGCCTTCTTCTCAGCTCTTGCACTTCTTCGGGGCTGTCGCGGTTTCTCCTAAACAGCCTGTCAGCAGATTGGCAGTGTTGTTTCCCCTTCGCCCAGTGGCTTCGGGATGGCCAACTGCTTGCTATTCTGGTCCTCCCTCTCGGCTGGCTGATTGCGGGACTTCCTGCTTGATCTATGGCCACTGAGGCTTTTTTTCTGAGCTGTTTAGCGCTCTGCTGGCTTGCCCGAAATCCCGGACTCTGTCCTTCGTGAGCTTCCGCCCCCTTTGCGCTTTACTTAGTTCATTGATTTTACTTCCCTTTCTTTTCGAAATCAAAGAATCCAAAGTATAATTAATATTCTTTTCCTTGAGCATTCTCTTCTCATGTCCTCTTTGCATTAAGACTGAGTCAAAAACTGGGCATGCACAGTGGAAGGAGGCAGGACTAAGCTTTGATTGACTGTCTTCAAGCAAGGAAGCAGAGACTACCCACGCTTTGGATTTTCCGACCTGTACAACTGAGAACAAGCAAAAAGTCGTTAAGGGATAGTATATGATAAGCTATTTAGTAAAACAAAGCAAGTAAATAACATGCAGTGAATAATGCTTTCATTTTTACTGGGATCACCACAAATACATATAATACCAATAAATTTAATGAAAAACATTATTTAAAAATCAAACATATTTAATCCAGGCATATAAAATGTGCAACAATTCCACAGTTCAAAGTGGTCTGGTTTAAGATATATTTACCCAGTAAGCTGCCAAAAAGACATGCCCAATATAATAATTCCTTTTTTAATTTATTTACAGATTGCAGAAATGAATGAAAAATGCACCTTGTTAACGAAAGGGTCCACCAACACAGCCATAAAAAATTTCAGAAAACTGCTACTAAATATGTAACTTAATTTACTGT